ACGATGGAAGCCTGCTTAGGAAGAATGAGACAACGGAAGGCAGAAGCAATGGATTTTCCTCACAATCTGGTACATGGATTGTGCTTTGAGGCAATTCCAATGAATGTGGTTCGGGGTTCAAGTTATTTATTTGTGCTTTGTAAATATGCACCAGCAGCTTGCACTTGCCCAGAGCATCATCATCTGGAAGAAAAATATTTCCCTGAAGTTTTTGCCCAGCACCAAGCAGAAAATAAGGAACTTTTGAGTGGTGAGAAATTTTCTTTAGTAATTAATGAAGCCCCTGAGCTTGCAGGACAGCCAGCAATTAACGCCCTTGCAGTGTTCTACAGTGATAAAAATAAGTCTGTAAATAAAATTCTATTAAAATCCTCTGTTCTTCTTCAGTGCAACAGAGGAGTCCTACATCAGCCTGGATTCAAGATGTGTTGAGAGAATATGGCCTAACATGCGAAAACTGTGTGTCAATCAACAGTGACTCCACCAAGTACTTGCAATGCCTAGTCAAGGACTTGAATGAAATGCATCCACATCTGCCTCAAGTTCCATGTATTGCTCAGCTTTTGCATGTGGCCATTGATCATACATTAAAAATAAATGAGTCCCACAACATCAGCACATTTTTCAGCAATATTTAAACATAACAACAAGAAAAGGCAAACATTTTTAAAATCTGTGCCAGCAACAAATCCATTGGATTTGCATATGCCCTTCTTCTGCTGCCCCCACCCGCCTGCCCCCCCGGGTTATGCAACCTGGCTGGTTTTCCTGACTTGTTGCAGCAAAATCCGTTCATGCACACTGGGACAATGTGACAAACTTTCTTGCTAAAGAACCAGACACAGTCACTTCAAAGAAAGCAGCAAAAGTATGTGGGATGGTCCAGGACAATGGAAACCAGCAAGAACCATACTGCAAGTTATCTTTTGCTTTTGCATTTTTGGGGGGAAATCCACACTGTTCATTTGCAAATGAAAACAAATGCACTCCTCATACATCACACTAACATTCTGCTTAACTGTGATCTGCAAGTTGCTGCTAGTGTAAATACTGCTGTAAAAGAAGTGAAACTCAGGGCAATGGGGTCTAAATGGCAGCCCCCCTCATCTGCAATGCATTCTTTTGCTTCATAATTTCAAAGCAAACTGAAGACCATATCCTGCAATGTACCAGACGGATTCTATGGATTGGGCTTTGTCTTTTGCCAACTGTAAAGTGCTTGACCCATTTATCCAGGCTGCGATGTCACCCAATTACAGCAACTAAGAAAATATTCTGTGTATTTTCCCTTGCAAGTTCAAACATGACTTTGACTTTTACATGGCATGTGAAATGCCCTGTAATAGCAACATAACAGCACTTGATTGCTGAAAAAGTGAAACCCAGTCACTGGCTGTCATGTCCAGTGTGGCATTATGCACACTCACAGTGCCAGTAACTTCAGTGTCTATGGAAATATCTCAGTTTGTTCAGAAAAGTTCAAGCAAACATCACATGTGTGTCTCTGACGACTGATTGGACAGCTCAACATTTTGTTTTACAACAAAGTCATAAACTCAAATTTGGAGAGCTTTTGAAATCTTGATTAGTCTGCTGGATCTAGCAAATTATACATTCCAGTAACTGTAACAAAAGACCTGAAATTATTTTAAATGTATTTTTAAAATTTTCACTATTTTACGACTGTGCTACCAAATGAACAGAATGATTTGAAACAGGTATGATTAATTGATTTATGGATATTGACTTTTTATATTTGTACATATGATTTTATAAAGCTTTTAACAGTATACTGTAATTAATAAATTGTCTGCCTCCCACCCCTAATTTACTGCAATCCTGAAAATTTAAATCGATAAAAAATCAAAATACATGTTTAAAAATGAACACTGATATTGTTCATCAAAATTATTATTTTTTAAATATTCTGCCAAGCCTACTTATGCAGGAGCTCTGGTCTCCAGTGCTGTTCCCTAGTTGCAGCAAAGTTAGTGAGGAGAGGATCAGGGCCAGTGACTGCATCTGAGCTTCTCAGAGCAGGCTATTGTATCTGCTGTAAAAATACTGTGGGGGGGAATTCCTCATGCACCTGTCCTCCCAGTGTCCTCCACTCCTGTTCCCTTTTCAACTAAACACTCTTCCCACCCACCAGTGAATAGCATCCTATTAAGGGATCTTGTGTTGATGGGACGATATCCTTTGTCCAGAAAGCATGCTCCACCTGCTTCCCTGTCATTGTGCTAGTGGAGGGAGGGCAAGAGTCTGCTGTCCTTCATTTCCTGGGTCTGCTCCTTTATCATAACAAAGCAATAAATTAACCTTTGAGATACTGTCCTTTGGAATGTGACCTAGCTCCTTCACCCAATGTGAGCTAGCTCCTTGTCCTGGGGTTAGGGGCCTTTTTTTGCTGCCTGTAATAACTGGGCATGCTCTATCACATTACAGTGACCTCTTGAGGGCAGGAAACAGCCTGCTCCCCGATTGTGATCCATCCACCAGCATCCCAAAGTAGAGTTAGGAGAAACGGAGCTGGAGGAGGTGCTCTCCAATGTAACCTGAACATGTTCCGTTGCCTGCCTCTCCAGCACAGGGTCCCATGCTGCTGCTTCTGTTTTCCTTTATTGCCTGGACACAGTTATTTCTCAAAATCTATGTATGGCTCAAGACTCAAGAGGCACTGAGAGACTAGAGGTCTCCCTTCCATTCCTGCAATGATATACTGTAGCAATGCCAGAGCAGAATACTATGTGAACTGCCAGGGTGGCATGGGGGAAACAAAGCACAGTTCTGTTGCCCTTATACACAAGGAGTAGCACTATACTCAAGTGGTAGCCTCACTTAAACCAACAGAGCTTCTCCTGGAGTAAGGAGGGCAGACAGGTCCTGAATTAATGCTTTCCTTACCCCAGGGCAGGACAGGGGTTGGCTGAGGAATGTCAAGGGCAGGATGAACATGGATGCTGTGTTCCCCCCTCACTGTGGGCAAAGTGATTCCAACTTTGGCAAGGCTGGGGTCCCCTCTGGGTTCCCTGGTGGGGGAAACTAGAGTTCAAGAAACATGGAGACAAAATTTCTCTCTATCTCAAATCCATACATGGCAGCCTTGGGCTCTGCTGGCAGGGCAGGGTTTGGGGGTGTTCAAATGAATTCAGAGCTTTCATGGGCCAGACCTTCCTGAATGTAAATCATTGTAGCTTTATGGCTTTAACCAGGGTATGCTACTTCACACCTCCTGGTGTGACTGCCCCATCAGCAGTATATCCCATGTGGTTCTTGAAGCTGGTTAGACACCGTCTCCTTTCTCTTCTCCTAGTGTGAAACACAATCTCGGACCAATCAGAGTGGTATGTTCAGGACTCTATAAATACAGACTAGCCAAGAGACTCAAGTACTCCTGTCTGCTCCGTATTTCAACTGGTGACTAGTTTGACATCTCTGCTTTTGGAGACCAGAAGTGACAGAAAGACTTCCCTGCAGCATCTCCCTGTGTGAACCTGACTGGTTGGGATTTTAACTTTCTCAGCAACTCCTGAGAAGAGTGGAAGAAAGGTCAGTCTGCCATTGTAGATGGCTGGAATAATTCAGTTAAGCATCTTCCTATGATGGAGCACAATCCAGCGTGTCCCTACTGCTTGCTTAGCCTCCCACTCTCCTGCTCTGCAAATCCTATGCATTCAGCAAGCACCATTAGAACTGCAGCCTAGGAAAAGACCAAAAATGTTTTTCTTAATAACAGGCTTTTGGGGGGGGGTTAATAACAAATTGCCATAATGCAGTGTGTACAAGGCAGCAGAACTGTTTGTCACCAGCTATCTGGTAGGACCATGTTAAAGGTGCTGTTAGATACTATGGGGAATTGCTGTGGACTTTGGCCATAGCCATGAGTGAGGACTGAAAGGCTGCTGAGTTGTGAGATCAACTCATTTCCTCTCAGCCTTGTAAGTCTGTCTATTGCTGTAGCATCCATCCCCAAACTATTGTTGTCATCAGTGACACATCCACAGTGTGGGAGATGCTGTACAGCAGTGGTCGCCAACCTTTTTAAGTAGAAGATCACCTTTGGCATTGAAAAGCAACCTAAGATGTACTGTGAGCCACTGCGCCCCCCTCTCTCCCCCCCCAGCAGGTAAATCTGTGGGGAGGGAAGTGGGGGGGCAGATCAAGGCAGAGGGAGAAAAAATTATTTGGGAGCACACCTCCCCAGCAGGTAAGACCCACCCAGCTGGGCCCCCACTCAACTTACCCAGTTTCTGCCTCTGCAGCACTGTCCCTCACTGTGGGGGCCTCAATCTAGCCCCTGCCCCTTCTTTCCCCCAAGGACTGACCTTCTGGGCTGGGGTGCTCGCGTGCATGCACGCGGGCACTCAGCCCCCAACCCCAGCCTCGGATTGACTCCAAGAGGCTCCGAGATCTACTGCAAGAGGCTCCGAAATTTGCCAGTGGATCGAGATCCACTGGTTGGTGACCACTGCTGTACAGACATAAATAAAGACCATCACTGCCCTAAAGGTCTTAGAATCAAAAGGCTAAAGTAGAACAGAGCTTCTACTACCAACCTTTCAGGCTGACCCAGAAGGGCAATGAAGGCTGGTGTCCCACTTCTTGTCCTTGACCCTTCTGGGATGTTGCCAGGCACCTTACACTCACAGCTAGACCCTTCCTATGCAAATCCCTCTGAAATGCTACATTCGGCCTTGAGTAATGGGGTCCATTGTAGACTGTGGAACCTATCTGGCAGGACTCAGAATTTGGTGGGATAGGATGAGGGGATGCTGAGGATAGAGAGGAAGAGGATGGATGAGGTCCTTACATGATGCTTCCTGCACAGATTCTACACCATGTAGCAGCCAGGCATTCTGTGTGGGGAGCTCAGGCAGGACACAGGATGTATGTAGAAACTAGGCTAAAATGGTCACAGACAAATGGCCCCCCTGTGGTGTGAGCGTGGCCTCACCCACCCCATCCCTCTCTCCCATAGCCTGAGGAGGAAGCCTCTGTACCTGTTTATTCTTTAGGTCAAGAGAGAGCTCATAATCGGAGGCAGCTGCGTGGGAACACGTGGCCGTCCCTTTGCTGCGCTGCACCCTCACTGGGGAGCCCGTGTGGTGGAGGCTCGCCTTCTGCACCAGCTGGGAGCACCCCGCGGCCTGTTCCTCCTGCAGCTCCGCATGCTGGGCTTTTAGCGTCAGGGTGTCGGACCTGCCTTCCTGGCTGCCGTGTCTGCTGGCCTCCTTCGGATCCTCTGTTTCACACCCAGGTTTCTTGCTGGTGGAACCGCAGGGGTCATCGCTGTGAACAAAACGCAATGTTTCGCTTGTTTTATTTGGTTTTTTGATTCTCTGCCCTCATTAACTGATCTTCCTTTTAAGTGCCTGGGCTGCAGGGTGGGATCAAGGAACCTTTCTCTCTCTCCCTCTCTCTCAGGGATGAATCAGGATCGTGCGTTGACCCAGAAAAGGCTCTGGCCCCTCCCTCCCAGAGAGCCAGCATTGTGCCCTGTATACCCTTCAGGAGCCAGAGTCATATATGACTCCCTGCTGTGGCCTGTCTGCCCAGTGGTGCCACCTTAGTGACTTTGTCACCAGATCTAGTAACCTTTGGGGATCCCTAGCAACTCTGGGGGGAGTCCCTAGTTACCAAATGTACATATTAAAGATCCTATATCAATTTACTGGGGGCATACATGGAAAACTGTCTAGTGCCACTTCTTTGGAGGCTTTAGAAGGTCCACCTCATGCAGTCCTGAGGTTTGTCAAGTGAATGTCTGCCTCCTCAGGTCAGGTTGTGATATACCCAGGGGGGCTAGTGGATCTCCTCTTCCCTGGACCTCATCCTACCAGCAGGTCATCAGCCAGGCACAGCAGTCATTTATATGCCAGGCTGTCTACTGCTTACTAGCTCACTGCTGCATTTCAGGTCCCATCTGACATGGGACCTGGATCCCAAAGATCCAAAGAACTTGCCTACATTTAGAGGTCTAAAGGTACAAGTGAAATGAACCACAGATAACTGACTTTCATAGAGCAATCATTAGCTTTGTTGGAAGATCCATGGATTACAGAGAGGCACCCAGGCAGCCTTGGGACCCAAAATCTTTAAAGTAAATCTCTAGAAGAAGGCATTGGTGATTTCCCAAGCTTTCATAAAGGAAGCAGACCCACAGAGTGGATGCCGCACTGATGGAGTCTAGCAGTGAAAGGAAAGCACCCTTCTCTCCTTACAGCCAAGTCATCTGGGTAAAAGGAATAGTGGCTTAAAAAAACAATGTGCATTAACAATGCACATTAGACAGCCTGGAGTTGGTGCATGTCTGAGCCACTGGAGATGCTGGGAATTCTGTTTTTAACCTCTCTTGCTAAGTGTTTGCTGATACCAAAGGCTGACTTCAACAGAGATGTGTATTCTGTGACTGGTTCTTCTCTCCAGTTTGACACTGATGTCCTACAACTGACTGCAGTGAAGTAACTCCTGCCTCACAGGAGAGTACAAAGCAACACAATCAGATCCTGATCTCTATTAAAATTATGCAAATCCTAATGGAACTGCACTGACTTCCATGGAATCATTCTGATTTAAATGGGGACAGAATCTGGCCCAGAGATAGCTACTGCTCTACTTAAATCTCACTGACCTATTTAAATCTTTATTTGTGATTCACAGGGTTATTTTTTTCTTCCAAATCTGCTAATTATCGGGTCAGGTGCTGCTCTTCCTAACTCCATTTTGCACAGTGTAATTCCACTCCTGATTCACACTGCTATAAGCGAGAAGAAAAAAAATCAGACATGCTGGGTAATATTTTTCAAAGTGCCTAAGTGACTGAGTGACCTATGTCTCATTTTTAGAAGGCCTGCCTGGTTACTACATGCCTTAGGATTTGTCTGCATTACAGGCCTCCGGGTTTGTAGCTCTGTGCCATACTTGAGAGCTGCTGAAAAGTAAGACCTGTTCACTCTCCCATTCTGTAAACTCCAAACCTGGAACCAAGGCAAAAGGAAGTGCAGGACCTTTTGTGTTTATACATGTGCTGGGGGGTGGGAAGGGGGGAGGTACTTTAAGTAGAGTGGCTCCAAGAGCTGCTCTAATTAAAGCACCCAGAGAATCTCATGTATCAGTGTCCCCATGCTCCAAAATAGTGACAGGGTGCTTTATCTAAAGCTCATCGAACAAGGTTTAGATAAAGTGCCCCCGCTGCCATTTTGAAGCATGGGGACACTGATACATGAGACACGGGAGGCTGTTGGGGTTACCGCACTTCAGCAGACTCAATTAATTGAGTCTACGGAGCAGTCTCTCTGCTCACGTATAGGCACCCTTAAAGGCTAGCTGGTTCAGAGAGATGGTAAGGACAGTCCAGGGATACCCCTATCACTATTCTTAAGATCTCTGTACCTAGCATACTTGAGGGCAGTCCCCAGAGTGTGCCCACTGTGTTAGTTCTGGATTTTGGAGTATGCAGAGTAGGAGTACGTTTATAGATGATGTGTAAGCGTTGACAGTGGTGAGGGGGGACAACTCCGCACCACTGCCCCCAACCCTGCTGCTGCTGGAGACTGGCTACAGCCTGGCTGCAACCTTCCACCCCAGGTCTCTCCATCAGCACAAAAATTGGGGATGGTGGTGAGGGGGCACATGCCCCCCACCACTATGCATCACTTATGAGCACATAGGTGGAGCTTATTTTTAAGCTGCAGTGCCACAAGTGATGCATACCTAGTGCAGACATACCGTAAGGGTGAAGTAACATATTACACTTAGACAAGTTATATGTTATACTTAGAGGACACTTAAAACATGACCATCCACATGCTAAATCTCATTAACTCATGCTAAGTGCTCTCTGGGAATCTCAAAGTTATGCCAATTCAGACGGAGGTTAACTCTGGGGTGCGCTACCTAGTTCGTGTCAAGATAATTTCAGTGTGCTCCACAAAAATAAAATGAGCAATTTGAGGTCCTCAAATTCCAGGATGCACCACTCCTACATCCCCTCCTCTGAGCAGGGATACAGCCCATGTGACAGCCCTCTGGTGGCAAATTAGAGCTATGCAAGAAACAAATGCTACTGACACATAATGAGCGACTGTGTGTTTATAGATGTGCTCTGGGAGGCAGGGTTGGAGTGGAGTGGGGAGTGCTTTAATTAGAGCAGCTTGGAGAGTGGCTCTGATTAAAGAGCCCAGAGCATCATGTGTATCATCATCCCTGCACTGAAAAATAGCAGCAGGAATTAAAGCTCATTGAATGAGCTTTAGTTTAACTAAAACTCATTGAACGAGCTTTAGCTAAAGGGTCCCCACCGCCATTTTTCAGTGCAGGGACCCTGATGCACATGATGCTGGAGTCTGCTGGAGTGCTCCAGCAGACTAAATTAATCAAGTCTGCTCTGACGCACTGTAATTACAGCGCATTGGAGGAGCTTCGCTACACGTGTATAGGCATCCTAAAGCATTCTAAGGCATTTCTGAACATGTTCAAATTGTGCTTAAACAAGTTTGTTCCTTCCTGTATGAGGTTCTGCCTCTTCTTGGCACTGAATTCATAATCTCTTCATGTAAGATTATGGTAATTTCCATGGCAACTCATTGTGATGTCACAAACATAGGATCACAACTTCACAGCAGAATTAAGCAGAGGTTTTCTAATACACAACTACTATAATGGCAAGGTGAAGACAGAAAAATTAGTTTGCAAAGGAAACTGATTTATTGGGTAAACTCCTAACAGTCAACTATGTCAAAAGCATATTAAAAAGGTATGGTTGGGCACTTGTACTTAGAGCTTTAATTCTATACTTCATAGAGTCTTTCATGATTCCATTCTTCAAATAATGATGCATAAGGGCAAAGTATTTTTTTCTAAACTAAGGGGTATTCATGTGTAGTATGTTCTAGTATCTGACTTCACTCTTGAATACAACTACTGTTTACATCTGGATAGAAGTCCAGGGCATCTTTAATATCAAACTTTTTCTCTGGTAATGTCTCTTCCCTTACATTTTTACCAGCAGGCCATGTACTTTCCTTTTTCTTTTTACGCAGCAGTATAGTCTTTTTAATGCTCTGCTCATGAGATGTCCAGGTGAGTGTGGGATTGATCCTATTCTCACTGAAGTCCATGCCAAACTTCACTATTTATTTTGAAGGGAAGAGGATTGTGCCCTACTAAAGCTACTTAGCTGGAAACATAACCTCCATTTCAGCAGGTCACTTAAGTACATACCTACACACTTTGCTGAATCAGGGTGACACTGTGCCATGCCAACTTTAATGCAATTCAGAGACAGAGACAGTGGACTAGAAATCTGTCTTCCCTGAAAACACAAGTTGTTTATATATGCTGGCAAATGTTCCCTATGGCCCTGAGCCTGCAGACACTTATGCACATGCTTAGATTTCTTAGTGTATGTTCAAGGGATGATCAGGTGAGCACAGGTTTGATCTTCTCATTGAAGTTCAGCAGCAGATCCATGGATTTCTGTAGGGCTGTTCTTGGAAGTAAAGATAAGTGTATGTATAACATATTCATTCTCATACAGCAGGTGTCCCACCCCTGAATTCCCAGGACCTCCTCCTAGGTCCTCTGGCCTTGCAGGCCAGATAAAATGGTTCTGCAGGCCATATCTTTGACATCCCTGGTCTGCATGGTTTGACTGAATGGCTTTTGTGATTTCACTAGAATCTGGAGTCTGTCTGAGTAACAGGAACTGCCACAAGTTACCAAGTGAATATAACTAAGGGCCATGTTCTTGGACCAGGTCATTAACATTAGTATCAAATGCAGTAGGGAGGGTAAGCAGGGTGGTGAGGGGATTCTCCCCAAAGACTCCTTGGCTATGGAATATGCTCTGCCCCTTTCTCCAAGCTGGCTAGGATCTGCTGAGCTTCAGGGACACTGCAAAGTCCATCTACTCTGTCAGCCTATGGTGTGGGTGAGAGTAGGGAGATGAATGATAAGGTTAGTGAATCCTGGGAGGGTCAATGTTGTCAGTGTGATCAGGCCGTTGTTCATTATGGCGGTGGTTGAGGGAGTAGTCAATTAAAAGTAACTATTTTTAAAGTCAAACATGTCACAGGTGGATTCTTATTTGCATAATTTGGAACAAACCCAATCATGTGGGAAGTGTTATAACCATGCTTGAACTTCACCTGATTTGTAATGCTTTAGTTATGCAATTTTATATTGTTGCTCTCCTACTGCAGCTTGCTCACAAGCAATTTCCTGTGTGTATGTGTGTGTTGTTTAAAGTAAAGAGAAAGGGCAGGAGGAAAACACAAAAAGTGAGCTTT